CGCTGCTGCAGGTGTTTTGTGTCTCTTTGATCTCATCTTGTGGTGGAAAAACTGAAGCACAGCACAGATCAAACACATGAGCACTGCACTCACGTCCTGCTCCCATGCACCCCCCTGGGGCCAGAGCAAGACTCATCTCCCTTGCTCTCAATGTAAAGAAAACCCTTCCGGACACTTAGCTTTCCATGGAATGGAATGGATGGCTACCTGAGGTGGCAAGTTGAGATGACCTGTCCCCTTCTAGCCCCTTGAAATCCCACTACCAGTCAATGTGGAACAGGATGAGTCAATGCTCCTGAGAACTTGTAGAGTGAAGGACTTTGCAGCCTGCCTGGGCAAAGCTGTCCTGTGTGCTTAGATCTTCATCCGTACTGATGTTCACAGAATGTTGCAATAAGGGTGCCGTACTACCACTGCACATGAGTTCTGCCACTGCCACTTTCTCATGACCTTCTCAAGACAAGCGTAATCTGTTGCCCGCTACCTGCCAATTCCCATTGTCGACATCTTTGGGTCTCCACCAGTGGAACCTTGATGCACTCACAGGGCTCCTGCACAAAGTCCATCATTTTCTACATTCAGGCACTAACATGGCTGGTGAGAGCCAAGAAAGGCATCATGAAAACCACCAAAACCTACACGCTTGCCTCTCCCATGCCACACACCATTTCCATTCCCTCCTAAAACCATGACAACGTGATAATGTTGAACAGAGGAAGAACCCAGAGTATGTCCACAAGTGGCTTCCCCAAGACAACACTGGTTATGTAGGAGTGACCCTTAAAACAAGGACACATAGACAGGAGATATGTTCTCTGCAATTTATTGAGAATGGCAACATCCTGAGGAAGTAGGACATACCATGGAAAGAAGAGGAAGGGAGGTGAGGACCGTACAGCCTGTTCCATGTCGCAGGGAGCGTAGGGCTGAGGAACACGCTTGGCAAAGAACATGCTGGAGAAGGGCCTTGTGTTCATCGGTGTCGACAGCTTTTGCAGAGCAAGGAGAGGTGGAACCAAGTTGCCCAGTTGCTCCACTCCAGGGCCAGTCATCCCTCTGACCATCTGCTTGCTCCCCAGCTCTGCCAAGGATGGAAAGCACTTTGCCCAGCCCTGCCATGGCCCCTACGGCTAGCGAATGGAAGAAGCAGACGTACTACTTGCTGAAGCACCCCGGAGACATGGCCATTGAGGAAGCAACAGGAAGGCGAGTGAGCAAAGAGGACTTCTATACATGTTTGCCTCCAGGCAGCCAGAAATGTACAGCAAGAAAGGCAGAGCGTTTCCCTCCGTTAAAGCAGCTCTCCGTGCTGGGTATCCGCAAGGGAGACTTTTCTTTGCTCGGACTGATTCGTCACTGGGCTTGGGGCTAGCCAGCAGCTTGCCAGGACCGTGAGGAGGGCATGGCCTTGCCACCAGACTGCCTTTCTGGGTCAAGCCCAGAAGACAAGCTGGTGCGTGGAGGGCCATGGGGGACAAAGTTCGTTTCTTGGCAGGATACCGGAGGCGGATTTAAGGAGGCTGTGCTACTGCCAGGAGAAGAGAGGAGATGCTTCTTTGGTTGTGTGCTCTGACTTGAGGGCTCAGAACCGCACGCCAGAAGATTTGACAGAGGTGGTTGTGACACATCTCCGTACAGAGGAGGATCCTCCACTGGGGCCATAGCCGCCACCTCCTCCAGAGCTGCAGATTCTTCCACTTCCAGAAGAGAAGCCACCACTGTGAATTCCTCCTCCTATTCCGCAGCTTCCTCCCAAGCTTCCACCACTGTAGCCTCCTCCTACTCCACATACACCTCCTCCTATGCCACTTCCACCTCCGAAGCCTCCTCCTATGCCACTTCCACCTCCGAAGCCTCCTCCTATGCCACTTCCACCTCCGAAGCCTCCTCCTATGCCACTTCCACCTCCGAAGCCTCCTCCTATGCCACTTCCACCTCCGAAGCCTCCTCCCATGCCGCTTCCACCTCCGAAGCCTCCTCCCATGCCTCCTCTGCCTCCAGAGATGGTGGTCCTGCCAACCACAGCTGGAAGAGAAGCACAGGTTACACGTTGTACAGGACAATCAGGGGAGTCGTAGTTGACTTAGCTCAACACAACTCACAATTGAATGAACATGGATACTTACAGACATTCACGTTGTTCATGCCATCTCCACACAACCTGTGATGGGAAATAATATTGGTCAATAACTGAGAAAGCTCAGGCTGAGAATGCCACCTTTTTCATAACTATACCTTCTCTATTCTTTCTGGGCTCTTTTTGTGTGTGTGTGTGTGTGTGTGTCCCAATTAGTAACACTCAACTTTGTATTTTTATAACACAGATGGGTCAACATTCTGAAGGCAAAGAATTATATCATGAGGAAGAAGGAATACATTCCCAGGCATTTATCCCAAATCCTACTATAGAAACATAGTGTAATCACGTAAGGATCAATCAAGAACAAAAAAGAAAGGGCACCTGCTCTCCTCTCCTTCCAGCAGTTTCCTGTACATGGCAATCTCAACATCCAGTGCAATCTTGGTGTTCAGCAGCTCTTGGTATTCCTTCACCAAGCGAGCCAGCTCCTCCTTGTCTTTCTGCAGGGCACATTCCAACTCTTCCAGTTTCCTCCTGGCATCCTTGAGGGCCATCTCCCCACGCTCCTCTGCCTCAGCAATAGCTGCCTGCAGCTGCTGGTTCTGAGAAAGAAGGAAGGCAGATTCTCAATCCCCTTCCACAAGCCTTCGTTGGAGCAGTCCCCAAGGCACAAATGGGATGGAGAAGAGGTAGGAACAAGCAAGGTCATCCTAAAGCATTGCTTTACAGTGACTACACTTCAATTGAAGCATCCTGGTTCCCCTAGACTTCTCCTCTGGAATCCATCCTGATGCCAGTACCCAACGTGGTTGAGGAGCTCAAGGAGCCTTACCTGCTTCTTCACGTTGTCGATTTCAGCCCGCAGCCTCTGAATGTTCCTGGTGAGCTCTTGGATCTCTACCTTGGTATTGCGCAGGTTGTCCCCCTGCCTTCCAGCAGTGCTCTGCAGCTCCTCATACTGATAACACAGAGACAAAACAATCCTTGAGTGACAGGAGCTGCAGAGAACTCAACCCTTTTTCTTGCTGCATGGTAAGGAGGGCAGAGCCATGGTGAGCTCCGGACCATCCACAACTGCTTTGGGACTCACCCGGCTCTGGTACCAAGCCTCAGCCTCAGCCCTGCTGCTCTGAGCAATCTGTTCATACTGGCGTCGGACTTCGTCAATGATGCTCTCCAGATCCAGGTGACGGTTGTTGTCCATAGACACCACCACGGACAAGTCCTGGCTGATTGTACGCATCTGAGCCAGTTCCTGAATTCAAGAGAGGAAGTAACATGAACTTTTAAGGAACTGATGAGGGAGCAGCAGTGGCAGAGAGTTGCAAGAAACTCCCAACATTAAATGCACCTAGTCAAACATGAATGCCTTCTTACCTCCTCATATATGTTCCTCAGGAAGTTGATTTCATCAGTCAGAGCTCCCACCTTTGCTTCCAACTCTACTTTGGTCATGTAGGCACAGTCCACATCCTAAGGGAAGATCACAAAGGTAAAGAGCCTTCTTCTCTGATCCCTGAAGAGCTGATGACAACCAGTGCCTCCTGAGGAAGCTGCTCTTCCTCAAGCTGCCTCCTTCCAATGCCTTCCCAAACTGTCCCCAACCCACATACACACACACACACTTTAGTGGTGTCTGTGTGACTCACCTTCTTGAGCACCACAAACTCATTCTCGGCAGCGGTGCGCCTGTTGATCTCTTCTTCATACCTGTTGAAGGGAAAACAAGAGGATGAGTCTCTTGGACTACCCCACAGTCAACCAGTTGAACAACGTACTCTAGAAACCATCCTCAACGCTCAGGAGCAAAGGGAAGACAGCGGTGAAATCTCAGAGCTGCTTCAGATCTCCTCGCCTTGGTGGTTACTTCTTCCACATCAGGCCCCAGCACTTACTTGCTTTTGTAATCCTCGACATATTGGCGCATGCTCTGCAGCTCAGACTCCAACTCTCCCCTCTGTCCCGCGAGACAGTCCAGTTTCCTCCTCAGGTTCTGGATGTAATTTTCAAAGATGACATCGAGGTTCTTCCTTGGCCCAGAAGGCCCTTGCTGTTGCAGGAGCTCCCACTTAGTGGAGAGGACCTTGTTCTGTTGCTCCAGGAAGCGAACCTGAAAGCCGACAGAGGGGAGAGTAAGAAATTTCCCCCGGAATTCTGGGACGTGTCAGTTCTCAAGCGTTTCACTTGGACAGCTGAGGTATTAGTTTCTCAAATTCCCAATGGAATTGCAGCTCGTTCAAATTTACATATATTCTCCTACAAGGCAATCTGTAATTCTCTGGTTTTTCTTTGAAATTAATTGAAAGTCTGAAATTAATTTCAGACTTTACTTTTAATTTTTTATAGGATCACATCCATGAGAAGAGCAATTGTCAAAAAGAAAAGTACCGTAGCGAGACCTGTGTAAGATATCTGAATATTCTATGATGACTTAACCCTGAATCACTGGAAGTTCCACACATTAAGCTGAAGAGATGCCTGGGCAAGAGACTCTTTGGAATGTCCTCAGGATATTGCCTTTAATCTTCTATTAATATTAGACCTTATCCAGTCTTCGATATATGTAGTAAGAACTTAACAATGACCTCTTACTAAAGCATCAGTCTTGCTAATTTTAACAAGTACTAGTTCATGAGAAACAAACAAACAAAAAACTCCTTTTCCATAGCACGAGTAAGTCAAAAGGGCCCATGCTCAGTAAAGCACAGCCCTAAATTCTCACCTTATCAATGAAGGAGGCAAACTGATTGTTCAGAGTCTTGATCTGCTCCTTCTCCTGGTTTTTCACTTGCTGGATCTGGGGGTCGATCTCAACATGGACTGGCCGCAGTAGGCTTGAGTCAACGTGCACTGGATGGATGCCTCCAGGGAATCCAGGGCCACCAAAACCTCCCACTCCTCCACCACCCATTCCTGGTCCACCAAAGCCTCCCATTCCTCCACCAATTATTCCTGGTCCACCAAAGCCTCCCATTCCTCCCCCACTCATTCCACCAGCACATACTCCTCCACCGTAACCACCCAGTCCTCCAAAGCCACCACCGTAGCCAATTCTGCCTCCATAGCCTCCACCACCATAACATCCACCCACGGCAATCCTTCCGCTGCTGCCTATGTTATGGAGGCTCCTGCTGCTAAACCCTCCACAATGTCCACCACCTCCAAATCCCCTGGACGTGGAGTAGGAGCTGTAGCTGATCCTGCTTCTATTGCCACCTCCTCCAAAGCCACCACCAATGGCCGAGCAAGAGCTGTAGCCCCTTCTACTACCACCTCCAAAGCTTCTACAAGCCGACTGCCGAGACATGACTATTTCTTCTTAGCAATGTCAAAACTGAGAAGAAAGATCAACAGAGCTAAGCAGCAAGGAGAGCAATGCAGAGAGAAGTGCTCAGAGTCTTCTCTGACTCCGCAGCTTCAAGCACTCCCTTTTATCCTCCTCAAGAGGTAAGCTGGGATTGCATGGGCGTGAAGATGGAAACCAATTTATTGTCTTCATCAGCTTGGTGATGTTGACAGATTTTCAATGTAGCTTTACCATATTTGGGTCTGTCTAGAGGCACACCCTGCAATATAGAAGGGAATAAAAGAATAAGAACATTGAAACAGGTCATAGTGACTAAGTGGACTCCAGTGTCTTTACGGCATCTTGAAAGCCATCTTTTACTGCAACACACTTCTCTAGCCCCTCACTAGCTTCCCTGCATTTGTTAATGGTCCCCAGTAATTCCAAATCTAAATCTTTCAATCCAAAGAAACACTGAAAGGAGAAGTTTTGATGAGAGCCCAGCTATAATATGGCTTTCACAATTCCTTACACACACCCTAAATCTTCACTCTGTGTGTAAATTTGCCTTTGGCACTTTAGGAAAGGTTTCCCAATCTTGAATGGGAATTTATGACAACAAAGTTTGAAGAAAATCAGCATATTCTTCTCTTAGAAAGGAATTACCACTCCTTGGAGTATGAGTAGCATCACTTTGGATGGGAGTGTCTTCTCCAAGTGGATTAAATTCCCTCCAACTGCATCACCCAGATTCTTTGATAACTGACTACCGAGGACCTTGGACAACACTGGAGCAGAATGAACAAGGCAACATGAATGTTTCTGCTCCGTGCTTCTGCGATGGGGAATGTCTACCTGCAGAAGACTGGAAGGATGCTTTGGACAACTGCTATGGTGATGGTGATGGGGACAGAGACAAGAAATGGAAAGACAGATGAATAATTTGGGGCATGGGGAGTTCCTACTGTTCAGATAAATGTGGTTGACTGCATAATTACTTGGTTATTTCTAAAGATGAGGCAACTAAAGAGAAAGAAATGTTAAGAAAAGGAACTATTTCATTATCTAAGGCAGTGTGGTTTTCCTTATTTTCAGAAGCTGTGATGCATAAGGGACATACTGTACAACTCTGTACTAAGAAGTCTCTGAAAGAATCTCATTTTGATTGCATGCATATGAACTTTTAAATAATTATTCATAAGGCATCAGATTAGGGTCCAAATTGAAGAATGACAGTGATGTATAATGTTCTGAAAAAGGCACTAGTTAAATACAGAGGTCTGTAAGCTCTATTTAAACTCTATTCTGCAGCTATTCTGCATCTGAATATTATTACATTCAGATGAATATAATATTATTAATCACATGTATCTTTAAGTTAAATGTATTAATCAAGCAGTAACTTCCTCTACATTTTCTGTAGTACTTAACAAGACCAAAAAAAATCCAAAGGGATAGAGAAATACACATTGCAACCCCATCAAAAGATGTAAAGCAATAATAAACAGGTATGTAAGAAGACACAGAAGAAAAATACGTATGACCATATATGTTTGTTAGGTCTTCAGAAAGTCCCCAAAGACAAGTAAACGTTGTTAGAAACCATCACAAGGTATCAGCCTGTAGCAACAGATGCTTTAAAGTCTTGGAGAAACCTAACCCAGAGAATCACTTGCAAAAGCCGTAGGATTGAGGAGACACAGTTCAGAATGGCAACCTCAAGGGTCATCCCCGTGTGGGTGGCATGTCCTCCATGGTGCACTACAGCAGGAAGGAGACTCTTCCCCTTAAAAGGGGTCTATGATGAAGAGAGTCTCATATGATGGTGGTACTCGCAAGCCCCAATGATTAGTGCATCCTGCAGTCCAGTTGACCACTCCAAATCAATGGTCCTTAGGAGATAAAGGACAGATCAGAGGTTTCTGTAAAAAAAAAAAGAGGTTGCCTCTTCTCTTGGCCTCCTTTCACATTGCCAAACATGGGGGCTGCCTTCCTCCACAGACAACGTGAGTGTATTGTAACATCCCACATGGCAGCACCACAACAAACAGGAAGATTTGCTGCATCAGCCACATGCCAAGATGCTGACCATGTGCTATAAACACATATTGAGTCACTGTGACATCTTCAGAGGAGATTAGCGGATCATTCCCAACCTGGAGTCACATCAATCTCCTCCAGGTAAAACTCAATAGACAACCTAGGCTCCAGCCACCCCTTCAGATCTCTTATGCAAGGAGCAGAACATAAGATGCTTATGCACAGCAAAAGCATCAACATTTGGGCAAGAGAAGCCCAACAGAAAAAGTAGCTTGAGCAGCCCAAGCCAGGCTGCAACTTCAGGTCACACACAGCCAAGCAAATCTGGCCAACATTCAAAGGAAGTGTAGATGAGGGCACCACACCGATTCCCAACAGCAATCCCACAAGAGCGTGTTTAAGGTTTTAAGGCTAAATATTAGCCTGTGTTCCTCTTCAGAAGCAGAGCAGTTGACTCTTCCCCTGAGCCAAACCCCAAAGCACTCTTGGCACAAGCCCCTCTTCTGAAACACCTTGCCTTCTCCTCACTCTGGTAAGCCCCAATGACCCTTTTTAATAGAAAGAGGCCAGGCAGATGCTTCCCAACTCTAGAACTGCTCTGATGCCCTCAGAAATGAGCAGAAAAGCGTTTTCTTGAGTCCCATCACCGGCCCCATTGCAAGCTCATGCAGCCTTGCGTGGAGCTCTTGCCAAGTCCACCAGACTTTCTAGACCTGCTACAGGGACACTGGCAGCTCTGAGCACGTTGCTGTGGGCGTCCTGAACCGCCGGTGCCGGGGTTTTGTTGCAGGTTTTTTGTGTCTCTTTGATCTCATCTTGTGGTGGAAAAACTGAAGCACAGCACAGATCAAACACATGAGCACTGCACTCACGTCCTGCTCCCATGCACCCCCCTGGGGCCAGAGCAAGACTCGTCTCCCTTCTCTCAGTGGAAAGAAAACCCCTCTGGGTGCTTAGCTGACTTTCTGTGGAATGGAATGGATGGCTACCTGAGGTGGCAAGTTGAGATGACCCATCCCCTTGAGATCCCCCTACCAGTTAACACTGGTTAAATAGGAATGACCCTTAAAACAAGGACACATAGACAGGAGATATGTTCTCTGCAATTTATTGAGAATGGCAACATCCTGAGGAAGTAGGACATACCATGGAAAGAAGAGGAAGGGAGGTGGGGACCGTACAGCCTGTTCCATGTCGCAGGGAGCCTAGCAATGGGGAGCACGCTTGGCAAAGAGCATGGTAGAGATGGGCCATGTGTTCATCAGGTTTCACAGAGGAAGGAGAGGTGGAAATGGCACTCCACTGGAGCTACCAGGGGAACCAAGTTGCCCAGTTGCTCCACTCCAGGGCCAGTCATCCCTCTGGCCATCTGCTTGCTCCCCAGCTCTGCCAAGGATGGAAAGCACTTTGCCCAGCCTTGCCATGGCCCCTATGACTAGCGAATGGAAGAAGTAGATGTACTACTTGCTGAAGCACCCCGGAGACATGGCCATCGAGGAAGCAATAGGAAGGGGACGGAGCAAAGAGGACTTCTAGACACATTTGCCTCTAGGCAGCCAGAAATGTACAGCAAGAAAGGCAGAGCGTTTCCCTCCATTAAAGCAGCTCTCCGTGCTGGGTATCCGCAAGGGAGACTTTTCTTTGCTCGGACTGATTCGTCACTGGGCTTGGGGCTAGCCAGCAGCTTGCCAGGACCGTGAGGAGGGCATGGCCTTGCCACCAGACTGCCTTTCTGGGTCAAGCCCAGAAGACAAGCTGGTGCGTGGAGGGCCATGGGGGACAAAGTTCATTTCTTGCCAGGATACCGGAGGCGGATTTAAGGAGGCTGTGCTACTGCCAGGAGAAGAGAGGAGATGCTTCTTTGGTTGTGTGCTCTGACTTGAGGGCTCAGAACCGCACGCCAGAAGATTTGACAGAGGTGGTTGTGACACATCTCCGTACAGAGGAGGATCCTCCACTGGGG